GCCGCACCTCTGGCCTGTGCCCCAGTTCTTGTATGCATAAATGAATAAATCTTGAAAAAAAGTAAAATAAAGGACTAAAGAAAATTAATGAAATTATTCACAAAAATTATATTTCACATATTCCTTAGATACTAAGGTTGTATTTGATGATTATGATAGAAATCTTTTTTACTGTTATTTTACTGAATTTTTCAGAATTTTTCAGAATTAGTTTCTCCTTTGGACCACACATTTGTTTTTACATTTGTCACTGCAATATTTCTTAGAAAAGGTTTATCTTTAGTTTCACCAAGTCAGTCTTTTTACAAAGACATAGAATCTTTTTTTTTATTTATTTAAAATGTTTTTTTATTAATTTTTTTCTTACATCATTGTACTCCCCATAGTTCTCCTGCCATCTTATCACCTGTGAACCATCATCATTTCCCCTGCCTTATTTTGTTCTTCCTTGCCCTGTTTTGGAGGGAAGGACTTTTTCAGAGGAGAGGCTGTCAAAAAGCAAGGGAAATATTGGATTGGTCATAATTTAAGTGGTTGCATTATTTGGGAAAACCTAGTTGGCTACTTGGGATTGGTTTTTCCTAGGTTTTAGTTCCTCAACCTTGAGGCATTATAGGCTTAGGTGTGTTTAGATGGCCTACCTAGGCACTAACACCACTCAGTTTAATGCAAAGACATAGAATCTTGCCAAAGAATCACAGACTTAAGGCAAGGGTGGTCATGAGTTTAGGTCAGTGACTGAACGCAGAAAGACGTGAACAACGCACATGATAAGGGCTCTTAGGGCACTAGAGAAGAAACAAAAACAATAACAATTCTCTTCCACTTGCTTGAATTATCTCCCAAGGATCATATACATTAGCAAAGTCAGGAATTTCATTTTGTGCAGTAGGAGATAAAAACCAATGCAACTGTCTTTCTTGTCTCATGAAACCTGACACAGTACGGGAGGTTGGGTCTGCCTTTTCCAGAGGAATCTAACTGATACTAACTAAACATGCCCTCAAATCAGGAGCCAGGACAGCATGGCCTGAACAGAGAGAGCCTCCTCTGCCACCCACCTGGAGTCAAACTTCAGGTTGTTGTTCAAAGTAGCTAATCTCTTAGCTTCATGAACATCATGGGTATAATAATATACTGAGTCATTAACCAAGGATATCAGGAAGAAAATAAATCATCAGACAGTACAAAAAACAATGTCTGTTAAAAACATTCTGTCCAAGTGACTGAAAGTATGAATATAAAGTAGGGGGAAAAGAGTCTTTCTAGGACATAAATTTTTATATGAATATTAAAATAGATTTCATATACCTTCAATTTTCAGACAAGAGAAGAAGCCTGGAAATCTCAGGCTCAACGTGAGAACACTTGTAGAAGTATATATGGAAAGACATTCTTGAACTATACCCTGTTTAACAAAACAGTCCTCTCAAATGAATATTTTTGTCCCTTGAACTTAATTTTGTATCAAATATACGAGCGAAATTTTTACTGACACTAAAAGATTTGCCGGTTTAGTTGATAATGCAAACTAAGGTGCACAGCGGTCATTCAGAGCTGAAACATGAGGCTATCGTTCTGTTGTGTTCTACTTGGTCTGAAGCAACCTTAAACTTAAGCTGGCACTGCCACTCAACTACCTAGTTCATAGGTCAATAAAACTTCTGAGTGATAGATACAACGTGGTCTACCTATACAATGGAATATCATTCAGCAATAAACAGAAGGCAGGACTGACCTATGCCATAGAGTGGGTGAGCCCTGACCACCTCATGCAAAGTGAAAGAAGCCACAAAGGAACACATATTGTAAGACTCCACTTACATGAAGTATCCAAAATAACAAATCCATCGTGACAGAAAGTAGATCAAGACAAAATGGGTAATGCATGCTAATGAATACAGGGTTTCTTTTGGAGGTGATAAAAATTTTCTAAAATGACTGTGGTGATGTTTGTACAATTCTGTGAATTTAAAAATTATTGTATCGCACACTTGAATGGGTGAATTTTATGGAGTGTGGATCATATCTCAAAGCTGTTTATTTTTTAAAAAAACTACAGTTCACAATAATTTTATGCTTTTTTAAATAAGAATCTTAATTTAGCTTTCTTTAGTTACAATGTGCTACTAAACCCCTCTTTTAGAAATGCACACTGAAGTATTTGATAACTGAGATCATACCTGTGGTTTGCCTTTAAACAATCCAGTGGATGATAAGAGAGGGGAAGTGGGTGGGAGTATAAAGTGGCCATGTGTTAGTAACTACCGAAGTGAGGTAAAGGGTAAATGGGGATTCATCATACTAGTCTTTCTACCTTTGTTGAGATTTACAACTTTCATAATAGAGTATTAAAGGCATACAAGAGTGTCATAAGGCTTCCTGGGCACTACTATGCTGTCTGTTGATATTTTCTTTTTACACATATACTCATAATAAAATATTTTCAGGTGAAATGCTGTGATAGCTGAAATCTGCTTCAAAATACTTTGGGAAAATAATCTGACAAATAGAGTAGGGAGCATGAAGAATCTATTTCTATCCAGCTGGAAAGACCCATCCTTCTGGATTTATCAGAATGCACAGAGCCAGCACCAGAGCCAGGAAAGGATACAGATGAAATAATTGTTTGAGTTGGGTGAGGGGTATATGAGAGTTCATTGTACAATGTTTGAATAAATTAAAATTTTCCATAATACAGAGTTCCAAGAAAATCTCTCTTACTTACATAAATTCTAAAGATATGCTACTGATGAGAATTTTTCCTAAAACGCCAAGAGAATCGTGGTAGGCACTATGCCATCCTCTTAAAATCGAATTTAGTTGTTCTGTAAATGTGGTAGCTCTTGGTTCTGCTGCAATTTACAAATTCTGAGGTCAATCTCAGAAACAGGCCCAAAAATTAAGAATAATTAATCAAACAGTTACAGAATAATTAATCAAACAGTTGCATAAAGAGCTGGGGGTTGGAGGAAGCACTGAAAACAATCCTATAAAAAATAACTTAGTTTGAAATAATTGATTGTCCCCCTGCTCTGTTGGGACATGCCTAGCCAGGAGGCCCAGGTTAATAGCCCTCATCTTCTGCCTGATGGCTTGTATCATACACACACACACACACACACACACACACACACACACTTGCACGTGTGTGTGTATACTTCATGTGTATACTTCATCAAATGTGTATACTTCATCAAATCCAACTGTGCCTTGACTGACACCTAAGTGCATCTGCCTCCAAAATAAATCACAATAATAAAACAATTCACTGATTTGCAGTTTTAATTTTAGAAGGGAAAAAAAGTTTTCAATACTCCTAAACTAATTATCTTTGAGAAGACAAGAGATTATGATTTTACAAAGAGCAAATCCCTGAAAATACATGTGAGATTCACTTCTAACCATGATATTTAGAAACATTAAAGGCACCCACCATTTGGCTGAATTTAGTCTGACAGATGGACTAGGGAGCATAATGGAGAGAATTCCCATCCTTTTGGAAATATCCTTCCTCCAGGAGTTTTAAAAATACTCACAGAAGTCAGCAAAAGAGCCAAAGGACAGGGCCAGGAAGGTGGGGTTCATTTTACACAGATTGTGAACAGCACTCAAAATGCACAGGTTGTGCTACATACAGTAAGACCAGCCAGCCCCTAAGTATAGAAGGAAGGCAAACTGGCTTCACTTAAGCACACAGTGTCAGGTCAGACTCGAGGTACTTACTGTTCTTAACATTCTTATTCTAACAGTTGCTTTGGGTTCATTTAGTTCTCACTTTATTCTTAAAATCTGGCCTCCAATCCCAGTATGAGTGGACTTGCGAAAGGACAGTTTTTACATATTCAAAACATACATTCCTTACAGATCTTAGGCATGGCCAGACTTCTAGATTTAGTTAGCTTACTAAAAAGGTAGTTTAGTCGAAATATTCCTCTTCCAGAATCACTCTACAAAGACCTGTGTTCCCATGTCTGTCAACCCCTGGCAAGAGTGATGCCTTGGGAGCTGTGAAATTTCTAGAGGCCATCCCGTCCATAGCCTTGCTGGCAGCAGCACTTCTTAAAGGCCTGGCATCTTTTGCCCCAGAAAAGTCAGTCCTGTTGGAGAAGGCAGGACTGGGTGCCAGAGCCAGCGTGGAGCAAACATCTCCAGCTAGCAGCCCCCTCCTCCTCCTGGGGCTTTGGCGAGCACATCCATAATGACATGTTCAGGCGCTCCAGAAATAAATTCTGCCCAGCAGCCTAAGTGGCTCCTGGAACCCAGTGGGGGCTTAGGGCTCTCTTTAACGACCAGGTACAGGTGAGTGTTAACATACACCCTCTCATTACCTCCTGAACTCGTCGCCAACTGGAGTGGAGCCGTCCTTACAGCACATGCATTTGATAGCTACAGGACCCTTACTGCAGAATAAAGCAAGTGCTGTGCCCAGTCCACCTGTCACTTCACCCACTCACAAATACACCCACAATACACCACCACGCGCAAGTCCACCCATACTGGGATTGGAGGCCAGATTTTAAGAATAAAGTGAGAACTAAATGAACCCAAAGCAACTGTTTGAATAAGAATGTTAAGAACAGTAAGTACCTCGAGTCTGACCTGACACTGCGTGCTTAAATGAAGCCAGTTTGCCTTCCTTCTACACGCTAGGCACTGGTGAGCAAAACAGCAAATCTTTGATCTTCCCAGACGCACTCAAGAGCTGAGAGAAGTTTATTTTCCCCCCACTTTTCTAACACCCACCCCCATCCTTCCAATCTCCCAAAGAACTGGAAATCTGCTGTAGGGGGGCAATAAATTCCCCTCGCCTTCGAGGAACAGAGTAAACGCAATTCACCCCTGGACCCCACTCTCTTAGAGCCTCTGTCTCCAATCTCCCCAAAACTTCAACTGGCCTGAGGGACAGTGTTGTCCAAGTGCAGCCATGGAGGGAGGGGCAACCCAGGGGCGGACAGGAATGGAGCCCCCTGTTCCAGTGGGGCGCGCGCGGCACTCACCGAGGAGCCGGCCCAGAACGGGCACGAGTTCTTCACTTGAGGGGAGCTGCTCAGAGACAGCGCCCCGAAGCTGAGCGCCACCATGCAGCAGCCCAGGATCAGCTGAAGCAGCCCGAGAGACAACAGCGGGCGAGCGGGCAGCAGCGCCGAGCCCGGGGCGGCGGCGGCCGCGGCAGCGGCCCGGCGGGAGGAGAGCGCGGGCGGCGCAGCCAGCACCCCGGGGGCGGCGGTGGCCGCGCAGCGAGGCCGGGCCGGGGGCTGCACGGCGGCCCGGGGCCAGCGCGGCCGCAGCGGGGGCAGAGGCGGCTCCTGGGCGGCCGCGGCCGCGGAGCCCGGACCCCCGGCCTGCGGCCCGCCCGAGAGTCCGGCCACCGGGCAGCAGGAGCCCGGGAGCACCACGGGCAGGGACATGGGCGGGCGGGGAAGGGAGCGGCCGGCGGCGGCCGGGAGGGGACGCGGAGCTGAGCCGCGGGCGCCGCGCACTGGGCACCGCGGGCGGGCGCCGCGCCGGAGGGGGAGGGAAGGAAATGCGCACGGCCCAACCACTTGCTGCTGCAGCCGCTGCCCAGCTCCCGCCGGCCGCACCCACCTGCCACCCGGCGGGTCCGCCTCCGGCCGGCCCGGCGCACCCGCGCGCTCTCCGCGCACACCCACGCGCCCTGCGCTCGCGCCGCGCGCCCCTGCAGCCTGCGGCTTCCGCCCGGCCGCGCCCTTCTCCGGGGTCCGGGGAAGGTGCCCTGCCGCGACTTTTAAAATAAATCCCTGGGGGTGGGCGGGGGTCTGCCCCCCACCGCCGAGCTGGGGCTGCGAGCAGCGCAGGAAAAGCGCAGTGGACCCTCGTCCCTTTTCCCTGGGAGCCTCTCCCACGAAGGGAACCCGGCTTTAAACTTTTCCCCACCGGAAAGGGAGCTGGCAGGAGGGGGGATCAGGGTTATTTGGTGGGGAAAGTCGAAGTTGGGGGGCTTCGAGGGAGGAGGAGTTAGGTGAAGTCGCCGCTCAGGAGGGGTTTCCGGACACTGATATTACGCAGGGGCGATTACGCCGCCTGGAAGTGGGGGGCGGGGGGAGAGGACAGTAGTGCTTTCTCTGCACCTGAGCTGGAGCGAGCGCGGGCGCCAGGTTACCTTGGAAGTTTCCAGCACCCTGAACGAAACCAGCGGGAGTGGTCTGGAGCGGGTGGTCAAGGTTACACTGTATCCGTCTCACCTTGACGCGTGAGTTCTAGGAGGCATCTCCTGGTAGAACACTAAATCCCAACCCCTCCAAAAAACACCTAATAAAATCTTTACCTGTTTTTAGCAATTTCTCAAACATTTTTAGCGCTCAAAAAAAAAAAAAAATGAACAAAATGGTTGTCCCTAGTACTAAATCCTTCCCTTGGAGGATTTCTTATGTGCTGGAAGTGTTTTTATACATAATACAATTACAATAGATTTTTTTTTTTAGATTAACGGCAATATTGTTTTGCAATCAGTCTGAGCATTAAACGGTTTATTTTATCTGTAAAGTGTGGGTATTTAACATGCTCTTGCTGAATTAACCAAAGAAAATGTATCTGCTTTTGTGCTTTGCTTGCTAAAGCTGTATTAATTTAGTCATTACTTACTTCAACGCACAAAATAATGTATTTCCAAAGCGCATGTGTATTTACATACACATTTTTTTTGAATTTTAAAGAACGTGTAATTAATAGTCCCTCAGACTTTTTTTTTTTTTTTTGTACAGACTCCGCTTAGAAATTAATTGCACATTCTGGAGAAACGGAGAGCTGATTTTTAAAATAAATGTTCCAAGTGTGTTCTTGCATGCCCTGCAAAAAGTCTTACAATACATGTTCTTAAATTGCTGGTGATATTAAAGTGAAAATTTCTTGTGTGTTGAGTTTATAACTTTTATACAGAAACTTAAAGTTACTGAATTTTTAAGATTCTACTTACACCATGCAATATGAAAAGTCTGACTGAGTCTTTAAAAATTCTCTCAGCTAAATGAATCTATTCCATGGGTCGTCTTGACACCTAAAATGTACTATTAAAAATGTATTATTTGTGTCTGGGAATGCTGGTGCTAGAAGTCTGATATCCTCCTTCCTTTGGATGGTTAATGAATGAAGGAGCGTTCCGGGGCGCTGATAACCATCTGTTTCTTGCGGTGGCTGCTGATTACATGGGTGAGGTTCCCTTCTTGAAAATTCATGCAGTTACACTTTGTGCACTTCTGTGTATGTGTATTACATTTAGAAACTTTAAGCTATTTCTAAATACTCTTCTTAAAAATTCTAAGTCTGATTCCTACATAGAAACAACAATTGCAGAGGTAATTAAAACCCATAGATACTCAATAGTTTTATCCAATAGCTTTACTCACTTTTTTCAGGTCACTAAATCTTTTTCCAAAGCTATTAAGAGCTGCCCTATAGTTTTTTTTTCTTCTTCTTTTCTTCCTTCTTCACACCTTCTCTCACCCCTCCCCCACTCCTTTTTTCTCTATTTTTGTGCTATTTGCCAAATTTACAGCTGTGAGCTTCTTTTCCTGATTATCAAAAACACTAATCCATGCATCATTGCCCAAATCTTCAAATGTATGCCAAATAACATTCGAGTGGTTGAGCCTCAGATTTTCTAACTCAAGCTTGATTCTTTGCATCCTCCAAACACTTGCTTACAATAAATAAGTCCTTAGAGATACTTGACAGAACTTAGTTGTATGTAACTAAGTTCTTAAAAGGTAATTCTGAGCCACTGATTTTAGCTTGGCTTAAAAAAAAAATGAAGACTTTGGAAAACTCTGGCAGTTCCGCAGAAGGATAAACATAGTTATCAGGTGACCCAGTGACTCCACTCCTAGATATATACCCAAGAAAAATGAAAATATATATCTGCACAAAAACTCATATGCAAATAATATTATTCACGCTAGCCAAAAGGTCACAGCAACCCATGAGTGGATGGATGGATAAACAAATGTGGACTGTCCTTGCAGAGGAATATTTTTGTCAATATTTTGTCAAGGGAATAATTTGTCAATGAAAAGGAATTAAGCACTGATATCTGCCATAACATGAATGAACCTTAAAAACCTTATGCTAAGTAAAAGAACACACTACAAAAGACCACATAACATGTCATCCCACTTACATGAACTCTTCAGAGTAGACAAATCCATAGAGACAGAAAGAGATGGGAGGAGGAGTTTGATGAGAGGAGAGCAATACTTTATTTTTAAAGTGGTAAATATTTTAAAATTCATCATGGTGATAGTTGTACAACTCTGTGAATATAATAAAAATAAACTAAAAACTATTGAATTGTATACTTTAAATGGGTAAATTGTATCTTAATAAAGATATGTGTGAACTATAACCCAGTAAATCCTTCACCAAAAAAAAAATTTGTTTTAAATAAAGTGAGGAAGAACATGTGGAAAATTTGACCTAGACATTTCATTAATGTAGGGGAAAGTTCAAGAAAACAATAGTTGTAGTGTATTGTATTGTTTAGTAGAAACCAGCTGCCAGCTTTCCACAAGATCAAAGCCAAATTCCAAGGAGAAGTTCCCATCAACTCTTCTCTTCCTTATATATTTTCCTCTCCTCACACAAAGCCTTTGCCTCTCAGGAGTTCAGGCTCTTTTGTTAAGGTTTCACTGGATATCTTTAAACAAGACCCTCAGTTCCTCCCACCCTTTCTCAGAAAACCCAACCTGTCAGTTAATTCCGGTAGGTTATTCCCTGAAAGCTGGGAGTAGAAGCTACTAAAGAAAATATTTCCTCAATATAGGCGAAATACTACATGATATGCACATCAAAGACATCTTTACAGACACATCACCCAAAGCAGTGATAGTGAAGGCAAAGATAAACAGCTGGGACTACATCAAATTAAGGAGCTTCTGCACAGCAAAAGAGACAATAACAAAAACAAAGAGAAACCCCACCAACTGGGAGAACATTTTTGCACACAACACTAATGATAAAGGACTGATCACAAAAATCTGCAAAGAGCTGATGAGACTCAACAACAACAAAGAAAATAATCCAGTCAAAAAATGGACAGAAGAGAAAAAAGAAAAAAAAGAAAAAAAAGAAAAAGAAAAAAAAAGAAAAAGAAAAAAAAAGAAAAAAAAGACAAAAAAGAAACTTCTCCGAAGAGGAAATGCAAATGGCCAACAGGCATATGAAAAAATGTTCAACATCACTTGTCATCAGGAAAATGCAAATCAAAACTACCATGAGATACCATCTTACACCAGTGAGAATGGCACATATTAAAAAAACTAGCAACAACAAATGTTGGCGAGGTTGTGGAGAAAAAGGAACACTTCTGCACTGTTGGTGGGAGTGCAAACTGGTCCAACCACTATGAAGAGCTGTGTGGAAATTTCTTTTTTTTTTTTTTAATTTTTAGAACTATTTCAATTTTTATTTTTTTAAACAATAAATTTTATTTTTATATTCCCCCATACAATTGCAAACCCCCCATTCTGACCCCAATCCCTCCCCTCCCGCCCCCCACCCCCCAAAAAGTGTCTCTGGTTCATAGTTTTTTGTTGATTTTGATTTTCACTTTCTTATAGTTATTCATTTTCCTGGTCCCTTATTTAAGTTTTCTAGATTCCTGCTATGAGTGAGACCATCCGCTATTTTTCTTTTTCTTGTGGAGATTTCTTGACCTACTAAACATAGAGCTTCCATATGATCCAGCAATTCCACTCCTAGGTATTTACCCAAAGGACACAGAAACATCAATTCCAAAGAGCACCTGCACCCCTATGTTTATAGCAGCACTATTTACAATAGCTAAGCTTTGGAAACAACCCAAATGCCCAAAAATAGATGACTGGATCAAGAAGATGTGGTACATATACACCATGGAATATTACTCAGCATTCAAAAAAGATAAACACATGCAGTTTGCAGCAACATGGATGGTGCTGGAAGGGATCATGCTCAGCGAAATAAGCCAGAAAGAAAAAGAAAAATACCGGATGGTCTCACTCATAGCAGGAATCTAGAAAACTTAAATAAGGGACCAGGAAAAAGAATAACTATAAGAAAGAAAATATCAAAATCAACAAACAACTATGAAACAGAGACACTCTATGGGGGGTCAAGGGGAAGGAGGGATTGGGGTCAAAATAAGGAGGTTGTAATTGTATGGGGAATATAAAAAAAATTTAAAAAGAAAAAATTTCCTCAAACTATTTCCTCCTGTTTTATAATTTACAAAGAGGAGAGCTTCCCTGAGTAAGACATGGAGACTCTGGAAGCCCCATTTAATAGGATGTATCCAGAACAGTTTCTCGAAGTGTGGTCCAATGACCACAAAACCATTCAGGGATCATGTTAAATGCAGCTTCAGACGCTCCCCTTCACCCACTGAATTTGACACTTTAGCTATGAGGCCTGGAAACCTGCACTTAACAAATTCAAGAAAGCATTCGTGAATGGTACTATTCAGATCCCAGAATTTTTAATGAGAATTTGTACAT